GACCTTATAATTATGAAACGGTGCAAAAGCCGACACTATCTTTGAAAATTCATAAAAAATTTGAGGTGAAGGATATTGCGACCAAAATTTGTATACGGAGGTACATTGTGATGAGGAATCCCCCTGTGTTTGCCAAAAAATTCCATTCCGGCTGCTTTCTCCAGAATCGCAAAAATTGAGGGTGACATTATAATTATGAAAAGCACTGTATGCAATGCCAGCGTCACACGAGCCTTCATCCATTTCTTTCTTGACGTTTGTCGTGGAGAAGATCCTCAGTGAAGAGCTATCTCATCCCTTTTCTGAACTTTTTTCATGCCCACATTTTTTGTCCGCTCTGGTTCTGATAAGCTGGAAATCGACTGATAATACAAAATTCCTTAGCCAAGCACATCTGCCTTCATTTAATCCCCTGTTCTACTGCTGTCTCAGTACTTCTGCAGGGGAATCGCAGAGTGTGAAGAACAGAAAATCTATCTGAGCGGCCAGGGAAGAGAGGATCATGTGCATGCAATGTGAAATGCAAAGCAGTGTGCAAAGTTCCGCTAGTTACAAGACCAAGATGGCTAGATTTGGAAGCTTGAATGGAACAGTCATCGAATTTTGATGGGCAGTGGAGAGAACATCTACGACTACTATTCGAATCGTTTCGACAGAAGCGTCTACCTCCCCACCTACTGCCTCAGGGAGAATGGATACGTCGTTCCTTTAGTTCTTCCATCCAAGATCCGACGTGCCATCACGTCGATGAAGAATTGTGAACAAATACAACCATGTACGAACTCCACATGCGGCACGTTTATGTGAATCTGAAGGTGATATTTCACCATATCGACTTCTTGACCTAGGTAGGCGTGGCTAGACCGTCCCAAGGTGCTCGTACCGTTGAACGTGTAAGTAAATGAGGAGCGAGTCTGTTCGTCCTGGTTTTTTTTTGTTCGCTATCCGACCTTTCCGCAAATGTTGTCAAATTCGTCCAGCTCTCGCGTCTGTTCCTGGGCGGTTGGTGTTAAAAACACGGTATCTGCAAAGCTGGGATTAAGCAATTAAGCAAGCCGCCAGCAAGCATTTCTAATTCCTCTCCTCCGTATGGTGTTCTCGACGCTGAAAAGTTTGGGCCAGGTGATGTCTCCATGCCAAATCTCCTTCACATCAACGGTTACGTCCCTGTAAATGGTGACACCCTGATCGTGAAATTGGAGTAGGTTTCACGGAATGGGCTCTTATAATCGATATTTACCCTGGTTGCCCAAGGCTTCAATTACCGCTTCTGTCTCGACGGTATCAAAGCCACTGAAAGTATGACGTGGAGGCGTCTTGTACCCTCGCGATACTCCAGTGGATTTCGAGATCGTATGGATATGACCGATCGTAATGAATTTTCTACCTAACACTATTTGCTCCCATGACTGTTCTTCAACCGATGTTGTGCAGCTGAGCCCCATGAGGATGACTGTTGTGAAAAGTTCATAAAGTACAGAATCCAAGCAGACTGGGTACTTACCGAATTTGAATAAGTCTCTTTTCTATACAGCAACACATTATTAGTAGTTTCTATGAAGTGGATACTTTACACTTCAAGGGAAACTGCAACGGGAAAGGAGAATTGAAGGGACGATAGATACGTCCCAAATAACATGGTAAGTAGGGAGCTAGAGGTGCTGTTGGGGAGATCAAAGTTGAACTTGTAGTTGACCTTCTCCGTTATCTTTAAGGCGCAGCATTTGCTCCATCACGACGATTAAGGCATGTTATGTTGGTCATACATTTGGAGAAGCCCGGGCGGACATTGCGGATGCTCTGGAAAATCTAGCAACCTTCCCAGGCAATCACTCAATTCTGCCGTATTGCCTGCTCCCTCAGCTTCAGGAAAACGAGGTGTATTGTTTAGAGTCAGCCCCGAATTGCCTCTCAGATCGCTTTTTAGTCACTTTGTGCAAACTTTCGGCTGAGCCGGAGTGCGGGATACCAACCGCAAACTTCATACGTATGCATACAGACGCCTGTAAGGAAAGAGAAAGTGTAATTCTACTAAATGCAGCTGAGACAAGGACCCCATCTTTCAATTCTACCTGCGTCTTCAGGCAAAACCGATGGCTTTTATCCAATAGTTGAACCCCTTGTCTTGAAGGCGTTTCGTCATGAGTCACCCGTAGGTTGATATACGATTACTCTCCTGGATGCACCACAGATATTTGCGACAGTCGACGGTGGATTATGCCCTCAGAGTAATTCGTGATAGACGATAGCTCCCAGACAGCTTCGGACGGCAGTTGAAGGTTGAAGTCATTTTTGCGAAGCACTTACAAGAGAATGCTTATATGTATATCCCCCTAAAAGTGCAGTTTAGAGATTGGTCTACCATAACTCATTATGAAGTCCTTCCGAGCTGTCCTACGAATGAATCTAGAAAGTGATGAAGAGCCGATCAAAACTTTTTATCAAACCTAATATATAGTAGAATATACATTGTTGTGGGATACACACTTATTTATGTATATAGGTAACAAAAGCGCAGCCAAGTGAGGTTGTCGTACATAATGAACGCACAATGGCTATGAGAAAATTGCGAGAGAACGCGTACCCTCAGGCAGCAGTGAACTCGTCTTTCTGTAGGTGTCGACGGAGAATACATTATGGATTCTTCTCTCCTAGTATAATAGATTGGGCGATCTCGAAGCTCTAGAACAGTTGGGGTGAGTCAACTTAAATCCAAGCCTACTCATTTCACCTTCCTTGCGCAGCCACTCACTCGCCTTTGGGTTGACCTCCCTTAATTTGTTGGCTGGTGGCTGGTGACCTCTCTGTCATACCACTAGGCTCACTTGTAACAATATTACATTTAGAGCATGAAAAATAAAATAAAGCACACCGAAAAAAATGGAACACAGAAATAATGCTACACAAAAAGCTGTGGAGGCTGAAGTAATCATTGGGAAAGTTGTAGGAAACGGGAAAAGAGTTTATCGCATTGTGTAAGCACTCACTTTCAAAATTTGCCTACAGGCAAACTAGTTACCAAGTGACCTTTCGTTCTTCTAATTTCAATAATAAAGTTAAAGGATAAAGTTTTTGGCGTTAATCAATCCCGTCTGACCCCCGCACTCGACTTCCATTCAGATCGTAGTGGCGTAATGAGTGCGTATGTGGCCTATACAATGACCTGCAGTGGCCAGCCGATGTACAAGTCAGTGCTTTTATCCTCTAAAACGAATCTGGTACCAATTCACCGACCCCGGAGGGATGGAAGGCTTGGTTGGCCTAGGCGTTCATCGATCCGGGATTCGAACCCCTGATCGTGCGTGTGATATAGTGCGCCACTTGCCACTACACCACCTCCGCCCAACTTCAATAATAATTATTATTATTACTATGACTATGAAGTTTATAATTCATCAAATCAATATCAATATACTGAGACTGCCAGAAAGGTCACCAGCCGACCAGTCAAGGAAGGTCACCACACAGGCGAGTGAGTGGATGTACGAGGAAGGGATGAATTAAGGAGATTTGGACCTAAACACTGACTACCGAACAGTTGTACTTCTACTTGCAGTCGGAAGTTGATCACAACTCTTGCATAGCGTGGAAGATCATTTATTAAGTTGAGAATTGTACAGTAATTTGTATGGCTGTGATGAAAAATTAGTTGATGCTGGTAATTGGGGCCTTCTATCACCTCTGCAAGAAATGCTTTTCATCGGACTGCATTTCGTTGTTCATAAATAGAATTGCTGCTCACATTCCTCAGTACGTACCATTACACCTACCTAACGCCGGCGAATTTCTTGATCGTCTTCGTTTATATGGACCTTATGGAAAATGCTTAGTGAAGTCATTTCATATAAATCGCGCTGTACATAAAGTGAGCAGCGGGCAATTCCGCAGTTCGAAATGCTAGACAAGCATGGCATTGAAATTGTGAGGTTTGTGTTGAGGTGAGCGCACATTCACCAAGTTACGTTATATTAACCAAAGATTTTTGAAATTATACGTCTTCAATAACAAAAAGCAGTACTTCTCTTGAACCGGAAGCTTAAAATGGATCAGCCGTTGGCGCTGATCGTCACCGTTTATTCATGAGCTTGTTGGGAGGACCCAACGGTGCAATGATAGCAACTAAGCCTATTATGTGAATGTGATATATATCAACACACTTCGGAAGAATGCGTTCTTAATATGCTCGATCGGTAGTCGCAACTTTTTAACTTTATGAGAGGGTTCCACTACCACAACCCACTAGAGCACAGCAAAATAAAACATTTTTAATAGAAATCTGCTCTCTGGGGTGCTGAATGCGTTACAATGTGGATCGGTTCGTGCAAAATGTGATCGGGATGTGAGTCTTCTGATAAAAGAGTGGGGTGGGGGTTTAGGAATGTTCTGTCGACCTTCCCACGAAGGATCGACTTGCATCTTGTACTTTATAAATGGATTACGCCTAAGATTTAACATTAGCCACAACACAAACCAGCCATTTTAGGAATCAACGTCCAATCTTTAACCCAGATGGCATGTGATGCTCGCATGATGGACGCAGACGCCAGGGCAGCTACAGTACAGACGATAGCCGGACACATGGAGGATGCGCTAGAAATCCAGCGAGAAGTTGATGTTTCAAATGTTTTTCGTTTTTTCCTGGAGCAAAGCAGTACTTTTCATGGTGAAAAGTGTTAAAGTGATCTTCAGGTAACCGATGTCTCAGGGTTATGTGTGTCGAAACGTTGGGGAAATTACGTCACATGCTTGTATGTGTTCATTAAGATGCTCTATCTAGGCAATGTTGTTCTTCAAGTGAGTTGGATTTCATTTGTTTCGATGCAAGTGCAGTGTTCATGATATGAGTCTCTTTGAATCTGTCTATTTATGAAGCCCTATTTATATGTCTGTTTTTGTGTGAGTCCACGGAAAGTCACGTATTCACGATGAAGAGTGTGAAATGTTAGGTGGGTGTGATGAGGGAGCAGACCACAGTTTAATCGAACCTTCAGAGAGGAGGGAAGGAAATAGGAAAGGGAAACTTCTACATTTTCATATATTGTATCAGGCATCGTCGAACACTCTGCTGACTGTTTTCCATTACATCTCTGATGCGTCATTTCCTACAGTTGGATCCGAGCGAAATTTTGAGTAAAACTATTATTGATAGCTGCACGCTTAAAAGAACTCGTCTCTCTTGAGCACTCCACTATTGATGCGTGATTTCCAGAAATGAAACCTCTGCGGAATTAGGGGTGAAGCAGTGTCGTGTATACCAGGCATAAAAAAAAATTCCGTTCTGTCGAATAGGATTGTAGATAAGCGGTATGGACATGTGATGTCTGCGTTAGCGTGGGTACCTTTGGCATAGGACAAAACGTGGAATTCCCGGTATCCATGTAAAGTAAAAGTAGATATAAAAAGTGCGAAAAGAGTGATGAATTTTGTTCACTATTTTTGTAATTGGTGTTCTGCGCTAATCAGAGTAATTCTATCAAATCGTTTAGAAGAAAATTACGATTCTCCTGCAAATTCTGAAAAAGGACTTCTCCAATTGAAGGGAGCTCGATCATTGTTATACATGAGACTTTATTCATTGTCTTTTGCCATCATTCCGGTAATTTCATAGTTCTTCTCTCATAGAACTTCCGGTACCTTGCTCGAAAAACTGGGAGCTCTATGAGAGAGGAGCTATGAAAGACCACAGAAAATTTAATATTCCATCTTCGGTAAAGGTTTTTCCATAAAAGTGATCGTACAAAACCAACGTAAGTGATATTCGGATGGCGCGATATCGAGGCTATATGGTGAATACAGCACTGATTTTCAACCAAGCTTCGGTAATTACTGCAGCCTCAACAAAGACGTATGCGCTCTAGCCTCGTCTTAGTGGAAAATTGCTCCTTTGCGACTCAGTAATGGTGAAATGATTTTTTACTTGTTCCAATGAATTTCGAAGAGCAGATGTCCGAATTGACATTCTAGATTCTTGGAGACATTTCAAACTCTATCTTACCTTTGTAATCTCACCAAATCGGTAGGGTGGCCTTCTTTCGACGATGATCAGTTATGAACATCGCTTGAGCAGGTTCATCAGGTATTTACTATAATCGTTTCTCAGTGACGTTATCTTAAACACTTTGCCTTTTATCGAGAGCCACTATCGTTTCGTAGATGGGTAGTCTTCATTGCGCTCGAAAGCGCTCGAAGCGAAAACTGCAGGCATTAACTCGTGCGTCGAGTGAATCTCCCTCAACTCATGTGACCCCTGGACGTCAAGCCTTTTTATCGGTTCAAGTATTTCGATATTCTCTTTAACTGTTCTCTTGAGAACATTAATCTTCTCATCGAGTTTTAACAAGGGCTACATAAAGATCGGCTGCGGTCAATGCCACCAAATGCCGTCATCCATGCCAACTGGTCACCCCACTTCGAAGTGAAAAATAGCTAACGAAAAAGTTGCGAACCAATGTTCACTAGTACTCTGTGGTAAAGCATTGTCGGCACTTGTCTTATATATGTCATAGAAAACGCCAGCAACATTCCATGATAGAAGCACAAAAGGGAAATGCTACTAAAGCGCTCCATCTCACTCATCATGTTAAAACTGATCCTAAAATTACAATTAAGCATGAGATTTGTTCACTTTTTTCTGCTTTACAATACGAAATGTTCACTCTTTTGAACTCTTTTGAGAAGCTTCTAAAACAAGCGTTTGAAATAAATTCTCTGATAAATCGTAATTTCTTCCAACCCAATAATTCGAGCATTTTTAGTGTGTTGTGGAATGAGAGGACCACCCCAAACTTTTCTAAACTTCCCACAGTCTTCACCGCCCACGCAAGTGCTAAACCTTTATATAACAACCGATAGCGTAAAGCTCATACGGTTCGTGCATTTGCCACTTTCTTAATAACCGTGTGCACCCAAAGGAATTTTTGGTATACCTGATTATTGGGCACGGTATTTGGTCCTATGCGTATGGTGTCTCTGGCTCCTCTGAGGATAACACCCGTCGACGTAGAAAACATTACACATCATTTCCCATCCTTGCCTACTTTGCTGCTTCTGAAATTGCGAGCAATGCAGTAATGCAAACTGTTTTCACATCAGTATTTGCGTCTCCTCAATAATTCGCGAACGCTTTTCAAAGCAAGGACAGAGACGAGCTTTCGCTCACCGGCTCCACGGTGTTTCCCTCACTATTGCCCTATTCAACTGCAACGTGATGAGGACGGCCAATATCTGCATTGAATCGTTAAGCTGGAAGCTTTTTTTCCATAGAATCTGTTTCGACTTGATGTTTTGTTAACTGCTGTTATTTCACCGCCGTACGCGTTCCAAAAGTCCCACAAAGTTAACGATTTATGGATGAAACTTCAGACTCGGACGGTACTCGAACCCATACTTGTGCTTTCGGGCAACGTGCTCTATCCCTTACGCTACCGAAACCTCGCTTGCCGTCGCCTTTTTATTGGCATATATGCCGCAGCTTATCAGCATTCACACGTACAGCGTTTTAAGCCGATCGCCCGATATCAGCCCAGAACCGTTGGGCTGTATGCTTCACATGATAGATGAGAACTTGTTTTGACTTCATGTTTTGCTAATTGCTCTTAGTTCACCGAAATGCGCTTACAGAAAGTCTCACAGCTTGGCGATTTGTGAACAAAACTTCAGTCTCGGATGGTACTCGGACCGGTACTTTTGCTTTCCGGGCACCACGCTATATCCCTTGCACTGTGGCAAAATAACAACAGTTAACAAAATATTAGGTCAGAACAAGTTCCATCATGTAATTTTGCAGCTTGACGGTTCTATGCTGATATTGGCCGACCGACTCAACACGTTGTACGTATGTGGGGCTGATAAGTCATAAAGAAGGCGAGGGCAAACGGTTTCTCGTAGTGTAAGGATAGAGCACGGTTCCCGGAAAGCACATGTACGGGTTCGAGTCCCGTCCCAAATTGAAGTTTTGTTCATAAAACGCCAATCTTCGGAATGCGTACTGCAGCGAAGTAAGAACAGTTAACAAAAGATCAAATCAAAACATAAACGGCTTAAGACTTTCTTCTACTTTGAAACTTAAGGCTTCATAATAACCACGGTGGTTTTTTGTGCCTTTATTTCCCCTGGCTCCTCGAAATTCATATTCTAGAAAACAAGATATGTTGGTGGAAACCCCGACGCGCTCTTCAATCCTGGTGTATACTGCTTGATATTAGGACGATTGGCTGCAGCACTCACAATTGTTAGATCGAGAGCGGTGTTTGCTCTCGATGTAATGTCTGGGTTTTTGATGTTGCTGGAAAACGTATAGTCGGCTACTCAGTTGAAAACGGGATCGGTGCCGGTCGGTGCACGAGCCAAGCGAACGCACAAAAAGCTTCGTTGGCGTTTGAACGCATTGTTTTATCACATCGAATAGCTCGAATAAGTGATTAATGGCGGTGAGGTTCGGAGTGTAACTAGACAGCGAGAGTCTGACGTTCAGGGTCATAGGTCGCTTCTGCTATTCTGTTCCGTATTAGAATGGTAGAATGGACAACCCAGGTGTGGACCTTTCGAGATCGTGTCCATCCTCACTGAACCAACATCGTATCAATATTGATCATCAACCGAAGTGGAGGCGCCCATACAAGGTGGGAAAAAACCGAAACTCCGTGTGAGGCTCTGTCGTCGGACCAAACACTGTAAGCTGCGAGCGCCGAACTTGCTACGTCGACGAGCTTTATCCTTCCTACTAATGCGGAACGACGATTGCGATTGTAGTTGAGGAAGGTTGCTCCAGATCAGCGATCCAATGTAGGTCTCACGGAAGCATACGCGGAACTCGAAGTGGCAGAAGGGCTTCTTCGGGATGTGCGGAAAGAAACTGTCGCACAGCATTGATAAGGAACCTTTGGGCATTCAGTGATACGGCAGAGGGACAAAACTGCTTGGCACAAGAGACATTGCTGCGGGAACGTGCCAAAAGGAACATATTGCGACCAACTTCAGTCATGGGGAAGTCGCAAGGACATGTGAGTAGGGACGCGTATTGCCTCGTAACTCTCAAAAGTCGATCCTACGCTACGCGTTGACATCGCGGCTGATCTAAATGCCGCTGGTAGACTAAATATCAGCAGGCGGACTGTTGCAGGGATGCTTTATGCAGCAAAGTTGATTAGGAGGCGCCCGGCTAAAAAACGCTCATCAACTCGGAGAACCGAAGGGCAAGAGTGGAGTTTGTTCGCCACCACCTGCGCTGGGCATGGAGCAAGCGTAGTAAGGATCTTCTTACCGATGGAAGCTGGTTCAACCTCTTTGGATCTCATGGTATCGAGTATGTGAGGCGACCTACTGGTGAAAGATACCACAAAGATACGGCAAATCCTCTGTCGAGCACGAGGGATAATCGGTGATGGTGCACGGCGTGATCTCTTTCAGTGTAATAGGCCCTATTCTCTGGAGGCAGAATGACTGGTCAAAGCTATACGAACATGGTCATTGAGAAATTCTACCATGGGCGGAAGAGAGCATGCTAGCCGAATGGGTTTCGCAATAAAACAGTGGTTCGAATCTCACTTCCCATTCGGAGGGCGCATTCCGGCAGAATAATGTGAGACTTTCATATTGACCGAGCTAATCTCCATACTTCAATTCGCTAAAGCACTTATGGAGAGAGTTGGAGGGAGGTGTGTCAAGTAGCTCTGCAGCACGGTGATCAGAAGTTCGCTTTACACGCGAAGCAATGGAACGCCATGCCGACGGCCATTTTTCAGAAGCTCATTGAATACCAACTCGTTGCGTAGCAGTGATCAAAATTCGTGACTTCTCGACAAAATTAATTGTTTGCAGTAGCTATGGTTTCGGTTTTAGCCGTTTACTACAGTTTTATATATGAAACGGTCCCGACCAGCTTTACAAGCTTTCAAAAGGTTGTGCATTTTACTTCCTTCATTTGCCGTAAAAGTTCGATGGAATAATATGCGAGTGATGTACTCGGTTGTCCGGAGAGTTTCCGCCGATTTTGAACACCCTCGATTCATCCACGGCTGTTTAAAAGATCACAGACCTAACCTCATAAAATTATACGTTTTCTGAAAGAGTAGGTCTTCTTCCATATTCCTGTTGGAATTCTCGAAAACCGACAGCCCTCAGGGAGGCTATCATCAGTTGAAACGACCAAACCAAAATGTTAACGGAAGCGAATCGGCATAGCACTACTCGTGTTTCTCGTGGCTAAGTGTTTCAAAATTAACTGTCCATGATCATCAGCTGGAACACGGTTTTTTAAAGCGCCTTGATGTTGGGATACCTTGATAACAACACCGTGGAGCCTCACAGTGAGCAGTCGCAAACCGCTGCAAAAGTCAAAATTCAGGTGCGAAAGATTATGCTGCGCTGCTGGTGAGATTGGAGGGAAATCCCCTATCATGAGCTATTGGTTAGTCAAACGACAGTTTCTGAAATTCACCACAGGGCGTTTCATAATTATAAGGTCACCCTCAAATTTGCACTTTCAAGTAAAGCAATCATTAAGGATTTTTTCTAGCATCGTGAACGGATTCCCCAGCACGAATAACCTAGGTATCCGTTTTCTAGCCGCAGCTGCATTTTTCTGAACTTTTTTTTGACAGTTTATCGGTTTTTGCACCGTTTCATAATTATAAGGTCACCCCGAGAAAGTGAACAATTATTAACGAAAGAGAGGAAATTTCGTGTTTGAAGATACTTGTAGAGGTAAACATGTGTAGCAAAGGCATTTCTAAACCTGGCTGTCAACATGGCCCGTGGTCATCTGCTTTCCTCTGATGAGAGACTCATCATGAAGGTGGGCTCCGTACTCGAGCCATTTCCAGGCAAATAGAGAGATCCTCTTGGTCCATTTGGAGATTTCTGGGGAGCCCTCATGTCGTTAGATATAACACCGACTGTGGACACCCATGAAAGATTACTACCCGTGACGAGCGGAAAATTCTGAGGACTGTTTCCAACAGTACGTCCTCCTTGAACCTGATCCGATCGGAATTAAAAATCTCTGTGTCGAAAACTACAGTCTGGAGAGCAGTAAGAAGATGCGAGAACGTCACCAGGCAAACCTCTCGGATTTGCAAAGATGAACCTAGGGAGAGATTGGGCAAAGGTAGATCTGCATCAGAATCTCATCATAGAGCTGAATAATTCCTATTCAGGTCGTCTTTTCGGATGAAAAGAAATTCAACCTGGGCGTTCCTAACGGAAACAAGCGATACTGGCGCGACTTGAGGAAGGAACNTTATCGAAGCATTGAGAGCAATCGATGAGGAACATCTTTGAAACCTAGTTTCTACTATGCCACACAGGCTCTTTGGTGTTGCTCTTGAACAAGGAGGAGCTATAGATTGTTAAGTGTTGTACATATGCCATCATCGTTAATAAATCATTTACTTTCTCAGGGTGACCTTATAATTATGAAACGGTGCAAAAGCCTGCACTATCTTTAAAAAACTCATAAAAAATTTGAGGTGGAGGATATTGCAACCAAAATTTGAATACGGAGGTACATTGTGATGAGGAATCTTCCTGTGTTTGCCAGAAAATCCCATNATGTCGTGTTGGATCTACCTGTCGTGAGCTGCAGTATGTATTGCAAGGATTACCAGAGCGTTTTGGAGCATCATCTAGTGCCCTTTCTATGCCATCGCCGTCACCTCAACTATGTCTTTCAACAAGACAACTCCTCCATTCATGTGAGCCGTGCAGCGGATGAGTGGCTGCAATGCCAATAAATAAGCGTACTGCCATGGCCAGCCTGCAGCCCGATCTAAATCCGATGGAACATATGTGGGGCATAATAGTCAGGCAGGTTTATGCGAATAACCGTCAGTTCCAGAGCACAGAAGAGCTGAAGCGGTCAGTTATCGAAGCATGGAGAGCAATTAATGAGGAACATCTTCGAAACCTAGTTTCTAGTATGCCACACAGGCTCTTTGATGTTGCTCTTAGACAAGGAGGAGCTATAGATTATGAACTGTTGTACATATGCCATTAACATTGATAAATCATTTACTTTCTCAGGGTGACCTTATAATTATGAAATGGTGCAAAAGCCGACACTATCTTTAAAGAATTCATAAAAAATTCGAGGTGGAGGATATTGCGACCAAAATTCGAGTACGGAGGTACATTGCGACGAGGAATCTTCCAGTGTTTGCCAAAAAATTCCAGTCCGGCTGCTTTCTCCAGAATCGCAAAAATCTGGGGTGACCTTATAATTATGAAACGCACTGTATACTTAGGCAATTTAGAGGCAGCGATGGACCAGAAGCGGCCCGAACTGCCGAATCGTGAAGGCGTTGCCTTCTAACAGAATACCTCCAGACCACACGTATTTTTGGCCACTCGTCAAGAATTGCTGAGGTTTGAGTAGGATGCCTTACCACACCTCCACATATAGTCCGGACATAGCACCATCAGAATACCATTTGTTTATGTTTCTGCAGAATAGAAAATCATTGAAGTCGCTGGAGGACTGCAGAAGGAGCCTGAGAGAGTTTTTTGAGTTCAGGTCTAGGACCTTTTAAGAAAGAGGGATACTGAAACTCGCAGGACGATGGCGAATACTTTTTAAACAGAATGGAGGATATATCGTTCAATAAGTGGTTTTTTTCTCCTAGAAATTTTCACTCAAAGATGAATCAAAAATTGGCAGAGACTTTCCGGACAACCCAATACTTTGCTTGTAATAATGCTACTCATGACCTCAAGTTTTCAAGCGATTAGGTCAAACAAGGAAAAAAGTACCCACGAATAATCGTTCCGGCATTAACTTTTGAACACTACTGTATATGACTGCGACAAAACAAATCTCTTGCCACAATATTCCCTCGGAGGGGATTTTTTTCACTCCGCTGCAACATCGGGATCATAAATGCACCGCAGACCCCACGTTTCCTACTGCTCAGCTCCGGAGCTGGGTCATTCATCATGTTGATTTCTAGATCATGATACACATAGCTAAGGCATTTAGATTGACCATACTAATGACCATGAAAGGTGCATCGGAACCCAATCCATTTATCGTGAACATCATCTCCGTTTGGTCCAGTTGCGGACCAAGCTATCCATATTCCGGATGACGCACACGATATCGAGAGCCGCATTGAATAGTTCGGATAAGATTTCATTATCTTGCTTTTGACAATTACTCCCCATCAGAATAGTTACGTTTTAGTGGCGCTCTCTTCAAATTGATGAACGTAAGACATAATGACATTTTGTGCTCTCGAGACACTTTCATGAGACCTGTAATGGAACATGTGATCGATCGTATTAGATTCCTTTCCGGACCCTGTTTGCTTGCATGGCTGCCCTTCATCCAGTATTTTGGCAACCATTCCAAGGATAACTCGAATGAAATTTCATAAATCACAGACAGCAGGGAGATTGGACAATAGAAGTCAGTCGTCTAGGTCTCCCCTCTTACACAGCAGCAGCACAATCTTGTTAGTTTCCCACAGAAAGGTTTTTTGCATTTCAACAGGTATCGCGTGAAGAGTCGAGCCAGAGTTTGGACAATAAATGGGAGAAAAGATGTTCAATTAGTCAATCTCGTCTGGACCAGGTGCCGTAAAATTCTCCATGGATATGATGGTGCGTCGAGTTCAGGAAACGAGTTGTGAACGGACTCAATTTCCATTCTGCCTGAGATGTTCCCTAGTAGATGTGGCTGTTAAAGAAAACAGCGTAAAAGTCGTGAATGGCCCTCTCAAATGCCTCCGAGTGCTCGACTCTTCTCAAATTTTCCTTAGTCGCTTTTCTGCATAGCCTTGCAAGTTCAGACGTCAATTTGCTTTGCCTGGCAGCTGGCCCGATTCCATGCTGATGTCTCAGCCTAAGAATCACCACAGAAAGATGCACCTTGAAGACTTGTAGACTGCTTACCTGGCAGCATGAAGAGTACTCTTGACGAGTCAAGAATACGCTCGATAAGCCGGTTGTGTTCTTCAACGGAAGGGAGCGGAGTGATTTCAACCGACGACTTTCTCGGGGGCTCGTATCCTGAACTTCGCAGCCCTCTTTCCACGCATTTAAAATTAGAATTGTGCGAGGAGGGGATGATAGTTTGCCTCTGTGTAGAGTTTCGTAACGACAGCGATGCTTGTCAAGCACAACTTCCCACCAGAGGTGATGTGACCTGTAATGTGATCTACTTCATCATGGGGCTGTCCATTATGTGACGGACAGGTCAATGCGAGTGAAAGGGCTTCTGGAACCGCGCATTACCACGGTAGTTTTTTGTCGACATGATAAACTCGAACGATCTTTTTACCATTTATGATTGTATTGTGTTTCATCTGCCGACGAGGTGGTTAGGTGTAAACTTTGATAGTGGCCTGACGTTTTGACGCGATCGTTTTTTTCAAAGAACCAACGGGACCCAAGGTTCAAGAGATGACCACTGAACGGCCAAACGCATCTCAGTCCACTGCAGCAAAAGCGGAACAGCGCCAGTCCGAGCCAGGTATGGTTGAAAACTGTGACCTTTTAAGTGATCTTCGTATATCATCTATAGACCTGCACGTCTCAGTGTTTACGTTAGTAGCTCACAGTGGCGCAAATGGCAAGAAATCACATATGGAGGATAGACACTCATTGCTGATTTATTCTGGGATACCGCGCGTGAATTTAGGATTCCTTTGGAGGAAATTTCAGTCTCATAAGCTAAGTACTTGCACTTTACATCGAAATCGTTTCCATGGTGCTCTTCAATCAAATGCTTGCCAAGCGGTGTTGTTATATTGCCGCGCTTTTTCCCGCGAGGTGCTCCCTAACTCCCGTTGTTCCTGTTTCGTGATTGCTTCTTCCAGTTTCCCCAATGTTATAGTACGCCTAACAAATAAATCAGTCTCCAACTGATCCGTTCGGACATGTAACGCAACGGTCTGATATGCGCTGTCGATCGTAGGGTCTATTTAGCACAAGTTGGTGTCTGACGTTGTCGCTAGGAATGCTCACTGAGACAACATCATCATATAGCTGCGCTCGAGCAAGAAACCTTTGAAACGCTGCAGTTACGATGTCAAACACAAATGGTATGTATAAAGGCACTTTGTCTCGACGCAGCTCTGTCGCATTGTCTCCGTTGCTCAGTGTTAGCCCGTCTGCGAAGTCATGATACAATATAACCGCTCAAAGCAGCTATATCGGAAGCCAGTCGTATAATTTCTTGTCGAAGTCAAAATCACTGAACTATCTAGCGGACACGATTGAAAACTTTTCCGAAATGTGAGTTTTGATGAAATTCATAGGTGTATCATATGAACATACACATATATAATATAATATATATACCAGACGGGTCGCCCGGCTTACGCCGGGCCTCATTCCTTCCTTTGAGGTCTTCCTTTGTAGTGTGGGAAAAAAATGATGTAGGTATAAAGGTGGGGGCTTCGCTTTCATCCAATGGTGGCCGACCTCGAAGCCAGGATGGTATGAGTTGAATATCCAATTGACTCACCCACCCCGGTGCTCTTTTCCTCCCGAAAATCAGGTCAAAAAACTATGATCTTGGCTAAGAAACGTTCCTGTGCACATTCATGAGCTGGCCTCCTCTCTAGCGTTCAATGCCAAAAACAGCGGAATTCCCTTAACTACACTATTACCTCCCTTATTAGTCATGAAGTTTTGCGAAGGGATAGACCGACAAGCCGACAAACCAACGTACTGACAAACCGACAAAGCGACACACCAAGTTACTGCTTTATGAGTAAGATATATATTATGTTTATAGGTATTATGTGAACGTATATATATGTATTTATATATACGTTCATATATATGTATATATATATATATGTTCATATGTACCGCAATGATTGCTTGTCATAGTAAAGCATTCTTCACGAATGAATATGTGATATGGGATTACCAAGATTTCAGACCCAAAATTTGTACCTCTTTTCAATACTGGACGTTCAATTCGGGCCGTTCGATGACATTGATGATTACCGCTTTTTCAAAGCAATTGCGACTCATTCAAAGCCTATAGAGAACTGAACTGATCGGACACCGCTTAAAATTATCGTTAAACTTCAGGTGACCTATTCGACAACAGGTCTTGACGATCTTCATGGAAACGTGTGTAAGTGCAGTTGTAATAATTGAGAGCTAGTAATAAAATGCATTAACCAGCGATTGATTTGCTGAACTTTTCGGTCATGAGATCAAGAAGGTGCGATCCAAGAATTGGTACATGGTTTTTTATTTATGCTAAATACCTTCATACCCGCTTGTTCGAAACGCCGTATAAGCTTATTTTGTCAGAAGTGGCGAGTCCTATATTTATCCATTCAGGAGTATCTCTCCATCATGAGCACTGTGCTAGCTCTCTGAACGTCTCAGATGTTTTAATGAGTCAAATTCCAGGTTTTCATACTGAATAGCTTTCTGGGTACCGATAACTTGTTTTACGGTTTTCATATTTTAAAAGACCTCCTCAACGGCCGAGAGTGGGAAGTTAGCGGTAACTTTCCTCGTGTAACAATGTGTGATTTTGAGGTAATCGAGGACATTCTCTTTCACTTTCTATTGAGCTGTTTACAGTAAAGCAACCTTCAGGTCCGCGTGCTGGGCAATGTACATCATCATACAGTCCAATGTGTACTTATGATCAACATGTTCAATGAGAAAATTTTTTTATTCCTGTGGTATAGAAGTTTCAAGCTCTCATTTCGGTCTACAACAAAATTGAACTATGCTCTTTTAGGTTCTGGTATTTTATGGTGTCAATTGTGTCAGTGACCTCAATGCTACATTGGATCCTCATCTCATTTCTACCTGGCCAGGCAAGTGAAATATGCGTGCATGCATGGGCAAGGTCAATCTATTTAGCGCTTAATCTTGATAGCCTATCGGTTTTAGCTTATTCTCTCGGAATGACGTGTACATTGAGTAGTGTAAGAGGCAGAAGCAGCAGTTTGTGGTGCGCTATTAAATGAGTGCAATGATTGGGAGATTCCGGTATGCCGCGCGGCGAGTCAAGTAGCAACAAGACAACAGATTACGACATGGCGCGTGCAGGATTGCAAGTTTTGAATAGCCACGCGGCGTCAACGGGAGGTACTTCATCGCATTTTCATCAGACGATGCTCGTTTTTTATGTTCTCAGTTGGTTGAATTAACCCTGGATGTCAGGCGCGACTTACCAGATCCATTCATCATGCCTAGATTACTGTCACCTTATGTAATCTATCAGTTGAGTCTCACCCCATCACTCGCACCGCTCTACGCTCAAGTCATATTAATAGCGGTGGAGATCGTACATAGATGTTACACACTGGCTTATAATTCCCACGACCACCTATATATTTTTCCGCAAGCCGAAATCAAATGTAGAGTAGGAACCGCGGACACAACACTCACCCAAACACCGCTGTTGGTGAGGCCTTCTTTGTTTTGACTCACAACAGTATTGGAGGTCATCTTTTCACCCCGGTTGCCAAGGAGCTGCACTCGGAAGTTAGCGGATTGTGTTGGCGAGGAGTCTGCATTGGCTCCAGCGACCTAGTCCCTTGCAGGCACAGTAGCACCACTGAATGGCAGAAGGGCCAGTTTGAATAGATCAGTGAGTACATTAGACAGTCGTCATTAGATGCGATGCAATTTGGTCGCATAATATTTTTTCCAGGGTTTAAGCAGTTGGCGCTGTGATAATCATTGGTCGAAAAGAAGAGACTAGTCTTTCCAACTGGATTGGAGTTCGCTATACATTAGAAATGCATTAATTATCATACAGATAGGTTCGCTTAACGATGAGGCGCAGTTCTTGTAAACAATTTGAGGAATACCATCAGAAGGTTTCGAAGTGGAGCATTTCAATTATTTCAGTATCCCACGCACCTCCTGAAAAGTTATCACACCTTGAGTAAAGGTATCCGAACGCTTATAGCTCATAGAAGCTAATGCAGAGCTAGAGTCTGTATTTGTGACAAAAACAGATGAAAAAACTGTACAAGGTCTTCTGCTTTGTGGAGATCAGTGAAAAACCTCACCAATCGGCACCGTCATGGAATTAAAAAGAACATGTTCAGCTAGACCTGCATAAACGATGCAACAAAACTTTTCGTAGATGCCGTCAACAGATTGTAGACATGAAAAGCGCACCGCCAATTAATATAGGGAAAACAATCCGACTTTGATAAAATTTGGCAGCGGGAGTATGCTAGGTGAAGGCGAAGAAATAAGAACTCCATGTTCTATTATACTGCGATCAGAATCAGCAAAAGATGGAGTTACCAAGACGTTCTTAACAATAGGAGCATTAGATAGTATAATATTATGTCTAAAGTATACTCTCCACGTGTGAATATCTTGACATGCTGAAGAAAGCCATAGCATTGAAAGAATTTCAAAAACCCAGTGACGGTCGTATCCTTAGTTAGCTCTATTCTTAGCTCTGTTTCTCATCCAATCAACGTCAATGTTGAGGTCTCCCAGAACAATAAAGTGCTTGTTAAACCCGCAATGATCAAATAAAGCATCAATTAGAGATTACTGTCATCTTCCAAAGAAGAACTAGGTGGTCGATAAATCAGTAAGGTCCTAAACATCGCAGTGGATGACCTATCGAAATCATCAGGGCAGAGAATTTCAGAGTTGAGGAGGCGCGAGGTGGTAACAGTCGTGAGAGTGATGTTGATACCATACTTAGGGCGCACCCTGTAGAATGGGGAGCTAACTAGCTATCTTACTCTTATAAGGCACAGTTCACAATAAGATGATCTCTAAGATTACCCTATGGGGTGGACTTGTGACCCCTAGGATAGCAGAAGGACCTTGTCGGGTAAAAAAATGGCCTGCATAGGGAATAATAAGGGCCTAAAACCATACAAAGCCAGATCCCCCCCAAACAGGCTTCGTCTTGATGGTCCTGTAATGGCTGCATCATTCACAATGGAGCATACATTATGAATATTGAAGTAAGTAGTGTTGGCCTGACGCGATAGTGGAAGGGAAATTTCTTCATTTTTGCTTGCTGTAGCCAGCTGTTTACGTGAATGCCCACAATCGACATATCGACAGAGTACCCCTCAATGTCGCTCGCGTCCTAAGCTCGTACAAGCCTCTAACTTAGCTACTTGATAGAGTTCTTCAAGCGGTGATCACAGCCTTTATGTGATCTAGTGTTTGTTTTTGCCCCTTCCCCCTCCTCCATTCAAGATAATTTGCTATTTTCCTAAGTTTTTCCCTCGCTCCCAGATCAACGTGTCTCCTAGCTGCTATGTAAATTTGATTTCTCCTTTTTCGCTGGTGACTGCTTTTCGGGTCTCAGGACCAATATTGCTCAGAAAAAGTCTAGGATCCAGCACTGCCCTCCTAAGATGTGTCCCATCTACTTTTATTTATTGAGTCTCTTCTTTGTTGGATTCTTTCCCTCTTTTACTAGACTATAGGCCCTTTTCAATCAGAACGGTGAGTTTCCAACTTAAGCATCGAACTTCTGTGAGCCGTTCACTTCATTTGTCAGTCACGATAAAGTTGATTGATATATGTATCCGACCAGGTGGAAAGGAAAGTTACGTCAGACTCTTTTTTTATTTCGGAAACATCGAGAAGCTCTGATTGTGTCTCAGACGATGCTAACCACATTTCCATCCTGCTTAATTAATACAGCTTCCTATGAAGCATAGGTGAGTAAGATCGCCGGCACTGCTTTAGCACCTCTTCTTTTCACCAACTATTTTCTTGGGTAAGCCTTTTCAGCAAGAATTACCTTTCTAAATTAATAGATGGAAGTAATATTTCTGTTGCATCCGAAATAATCTTGTCGGCATGCAGAGTAATTTACATTGGACATAATACTCCCCACATGTTCACTCTCGAATGTTGTCATTTTTCATCTTATTGCCATAGTTCGCTATAATGTTGAGGTACTTAGTTCAAACAAAGTGATGGGATGATGTTTTCAGAAAAGTGCAAAGGTGGCGAGGAAGGCACGAACATCGGCGGGTTTTAACAAATATAAGGCTCCAAAAAAGTAGTAAAATCTGATGGTCGCCAATGAAGTCGTCCTACTCAAAACAGTCGCCAGCCACATCTAACATAGCATCATTCCAGAGAAATCCTCAACGTAGATCGAGCAAGGCATTCCCTGTACGAGGGTTGCCTTCTATATTTCGGGACTGAGCAACCCTAGTGTTGCAATCTGGCAACTGATAGCTCTATCGTAAAGTTTGACATTTTTGAAATTATACTTACTCAGAACGTTTTGACATATGAGTGCTCTTTGTGTTGTTTACACTAACTTAAAAAATTTACCCAAGCCCTTGACGCCCCCACCCCCACTTAGGCCAAATCTCCTTCCCCCTTAACCTCCCCCTCCAAATTTGGCGAAGAAGCTCCATTGAGGACCAGTGCTTATCGATGGTATGGTTAATTCATGACCTATCATGAGATTGAGACAACCTTATTCATTAAAGGGACCAGCATATATTCAATATTCCATGAACATTTGACTGTCAAAAGAAAATTGTTCACGTTGGATCCAACAATCGCTCAAAAAAAGTCTCGTGTCGATTGGTCGAAAGAACTGCTCAAAAATTACGATCGCGGTGCTTCGAAACGCGTCTATGACATCGCGACAGGTGATGGATCAACATGTATGATCTCGAAAGAAAATAGCAGTCGACCGTAAGGGTATCAAAATGAGCCGAATCCAACAAAAGCTGTCCGTGCACGAAGCACTTCCAAGCAAATGGTTGCCTGTTTTTTTTTTGGAAAAACTGGACATGTCGCAACCAAGTGCCACTAGCCAACGTAGAACAGTCCGTTCTGAGTGGAATACAACCATTCGTTTGCCAGTCGTCTTCCAAGAAATCGGGCAAATCAACTGCCGAAGACGAATCATTCTTCACCAAGACGATGCGCGCTCTCACACATCGGCTCAAACAACTGCATTTCTGAGCACTCAAAACAACGATTCTATGAGTCATCAGCCACATAGTCTCCGGACTTCTTCTTATCCCGTACATAAAAAATAAAATGGGAGTTCAACGTTTTTTGACACTTGAAGAAGCCGTCGATGCGTTCAGAATGCATGTTTTAGATTACCTCGATCAGAGTGGCAAAAGTGCTTCGACAAATTGTTCGAACTTAACTTAATGGGGAATTTTTTGAAGGCAATTAAGCGATTTTCAATGATTAACATTTATTTTTGTTTTCTAATCCCGAAATATAAAAGGCAACCTATGTAACCTTAGTGAAAAGGATATGATTTAGAAAATAACTCCACTACATACACCGCAGACACAACGTTCGTGCTATGCCAAAACTCAGAACCTTATTTTTGACGTAGCTGTTCTACTTGTTACCTCCACGAACAGTTGGAGATGTTGTTCATGCTTGTGTAATCTATTATCTCAAATAATTACGTCAACTGGAGCTCAAGTGAACTCATGCAAAACGCGGTTAACATTGCTTTGTGAAGACCCTATTTTCTGCCATCGTCGTGAAGAAAGCAAACTACGGCTTTTAATAGTGCACCGGCTACTTGCAGTGTATCTGTGGGCTGAAAATGCCGCTACTGTAACCAAAGGGCCTTCCAACCACCAGTTTGCCAGAGTCGTTCGAATTTATTGATCACATTCACCATAAGTGTACAAGATAATGCCCAGTAAAGTAATATCAGTTCTGGCTTCAAAGTCGTTTGAGCAAACTCTCAGACATTTTTATATTGAACTGTTCCAACTACCAATATCTACAATAAAGACTTCCTAGTTTTAACTTCCAAGTGGCTTTCTATGAACCTCGGCATAACTGTATTATTGAGTTTATTGTTATTCTGAACTCTTCACGAGGTCTGTAAACAAGCTTTATTAGGCTGACGTTTCGGCGGAAACGCCTTCTTCAGAGCCTGAAAGGATCATAACAATTTGTGATTACCCGATCAAACGTCTCCACCAACTCACCGAAGTTCGGACCCTCAGGGCACGCAACTGATCAAAAGAAGAGGCACTCACCGTAGCTTTGTGGAATCTTCGAAACCACCCAGCAAGTGGTGGTACGAACCGACCAGTGTCAGCTGGGGTAAATCTTCATTAAAAGTCACTGCGGGAAGGCCAATCCTATATAAGGCCGCAGCTCCCGCGTGATTGCGGGACATTCTTCCCTACGATTCATTTTTGGATCGGTGACTTGTATCCAAAATGCCTCGAGGGTTTTGCGTGCGCACAATTCTGACTCCTGTGCTACGACCTCCACGGT